TAGACAAAACGGGTTTTAACAAAGACATTCAGTATAAACTAGTTTTAACTAGACAAAACGGGTTTTAACAAATACATTTAGTATAAACTAGTTTCAACTAGACAAAACGGGTTTTAACAAAGACATTCAGTATAAACTAGTTTCAACTAGACAAAGCGGGTTTTAACAAAGACATTCAGTATAAACTAGTTTCAACTAGTTAAAACGCGTTCTAACTAAAAATGGGTTTTGACTGTAACATATATTTATTTAGAATTTTATAAGTAAATTCTGTCTGAATTATTTGCGGAATTCTTAGTGAAATACTGTATATCAAAAACAAAATCATTGGCTGAGGTTTGGGAATGTATCAAATGTTATCGTATCATATTATATTATTTTATTCAATCTTCTATTACTTTCTACAATTCAGCAATTAACAACTACGCATTTATTTAATTCTTTCAAGAATTTCTGTATTTATTATATTACTATAGTTTTTCAGTTTTTCAATAACGGGTTGAGTGAAGTTTAACTATACTTCAAACAACTGTTAATGAATAACGATACACTGCACAATTTACAAAACTGTCACATTACAAATTCACAGTTTTGCATTACAAAATAATAAATTTTGTAATGCAGATTTACTTTAGTTTCCTGGAAACTACAGTAAAATTTCAAAAAGATACGTCATCGTCTTACCGTGTATCCAATGTTCTTAAACAACTATTTTCTTAGAAAGGACTCATATTCTCATGTATTGTCTATTACAATATATTAGATGTTGCAATGTTATATTGAAATAAAAATGTTGTAATGTTGTAATGTATTGTATTGTCAATTTTCAAATTTCATGCTTTAGAAATAAATTATCTTTTTAGGTTCTTTAATCTTTTTGGCGATCTACTAGATTTGGAAGTTGTATTTAATAGAACTACCCGGAATATTTTTGAAAATAGCCACTGTTCTGCTTTAATTAAATTCGTGTCTGGATATAAAGATCTGTATGTTGCTCAAGATACCTGGGATAATTATTCATCAATGTTGCGTATTCTTAAAAAATATGTGATGCCTCTCAGACATTACTTGACCAAAGGTTTGTTCCGTTACAGTAAAAACTTATTGCGTTCATTTATTCACAGTAAAATAATTTACAGGTAATAAAATAATACCTGGGCACACGACGACTTTCTCTTCTTATCCAGGATGTATATTTTCCGGAGATGACTTTTATGTTATATCCTCTGGATTGGTACGTTTTCTAATAAAAATTTTTTAAGTTCTAGTATGCATAGTAACCTGTATTTTTCATATTTTAGGTAGCATTAGAAACTTCAATCACAAATACAAATACCAGTTCATTTCAATATATAAAACCAGATCGCGTGGTGTTAGAATGGATTCGTAACCTTCTAGCTAACAGACTGGCTACCGGAGGAAGAAACTGGGCTGCCATTTTCAGTTTATTTAACAGTGGAACGTAAGAATTGATTTTATTATTATTTTTTAAAATATAAATTCTAATATTATTTAATTATTTAGATATAATAATCAATGGATGATTGTGGATTATAAAAAATTTGTTCCGAATGCTAAACCACAAAACGAACTGTTATGGATTTTGGAGCAAATGCCGTAAGTACAAAGATCTATAAAATATAGACTATGACATTTTTGAATAACATTACAAAATTTTAATATGACATAGCCTATATAATATTCGATAATTTAGTTCCAGTTTTAGTTACTACAAGAAACCAGATATAAAATTTATGGATACAATAATCCAGTAATTCAGATATTCATTATGCAAATTCATTCACACGTATTATTTGTGCGGGCTTAGTTGCATAGATATTTTTGTATTGTACCATTATATTGTACTGATAAAATTAAAAATATATATTAATTTTATGCAGATTGGATAAAAATTTATTGATGCCCACAAACTGATAAAACAAGTATAATTTTTAGATAACTTAATTAAAATGATTCAAAAAATAAGTTTCCAGTTTCACGTAAAAGAAGGACAACGGATGTATAGGACAATACAGGGTCTCATTTTATGGTGATGATTAGAAATTATTTTTAAATAAACACAGATTGCAAAACTAAACAATCTCATTTTTCTTCTAGTTTATCTTTTGCAAATAATTTCTCATTCCTAAAATCAAGTAGATAAAGTGAAGAAGCAATTTCAGAATATAAAACACAACGCAATTAAATATATATTAATTTTAAAAAAATCTTACCCTTATATCAACAAGTACAAAGTGTCTGACTTTTTAGATTGCTTTAAACTATATTAAAATTTTTCTTCACATTTAATATGTTGCTTCTTTTAAATTCACATATTTTCGGATATTAGCGAATTGGTGGTTTTTATGAATAATTGTAACTAATAGGAGCAAATATTTATTGTAACATCGTCACAATGCCAGACTGCAATTTTTAATCATGTTTTTAAATTTATTTAATTTAAAATATATGCTCTCCACTTTCAAATTAGTAATGCCTTGCCTCTATACATCATACTTTTCCTATAGCAATCGAGTTATGCCGATCATCCATCTAACTTCTTTAAGGGGAAATTTTTGAATTGAAACGTGACTTCCGTTTTGTATCAGACTTTCTCATATAGTTAATCGGGGTCTCCTAATCTTAAAAATAAACCGATAAACATTCCAAAAAGAAGGAAAGAAATAACAAAAAACGAATTCGAATGTTCATTTGAATTAACTCTAGAAAATTGTGTTTCTCAGATGCAGTTCGCACATGTGTTCAGTTCGTTACAACGGTTATCAATGTGAGAAACCGGGGGCAAAGGGGGTTCCCTATTGACTGCTTAGTCGGCAACGAGTTGGTAAAACCCACTCACTTTTTCACTGGATGGCTATTCGATAAATTGTCGTTGGGATTACAAGATCCTTCCGACGTCATAATTTGACACCAGTTACGATAGTTAAAAATTCGCGTCATAACTCGCGAATCGTAAACGAATGTTGAGAAGAAGGGTGGATTCGACGGTTGAGTGGGAAAGCGCAATGGGTACGTCGAAAGGATGTTCACTATCCCGAGAAAGACAGGTAGGCAGGTTAACGAATAACAACGGTTTAATATATATATATCTATCCTAGATTTCAAAATACTACGAAAATATACATCTAAATACTAAGCGCAAGCCGTCGCTCGCGAGGTTCTAGGGAAATCGTTCCCCTTCTATCTACGTTTAAGGAGAGTTTAAAAGTATGCTAGCAAAATACCAAATATCTTTGCAAGAGAGAAGTTGACTTCTATGACTGGCAACGCGTATATGCATGCGTGTATGATAATTTCTTAGCAGTTGTTGATGAAAAGGGTGACATTTAATCCATTTTCTGTGCGATATTTTCTTAACGATCGCGATTAGAAATATGTTAAAAATTTCTTTAAATTAGCGCAAAATCAGGTCCTCGATCTTACATTAATATAAGTTTGAGAAATATTATTATAAACTTTATACATATATTAAATTTAAGATTTTGCTAAACAGTAACGTAGAATAACGCAACGATCTTAATTTATTAATAAAAATTATAAAATTTTTGAATGTTATTAATATTTTACTTATCTGCAATTTTTTCAAAATATGCACTCTTTCAATACTGATTTTTATCCTACGGAATTATTCATCAAACATTTCCTTCATTTCTTCTCCGGTTCAATACATGCGCCTCTCAAGCAGCAATAAATTCCCCATTGTTGGAAATCCTGAATTCCTTGAGTTTCATCTTTATGTTAATACAAAAAGATAAATCGCAGGATGCATGTTTGTGACTTAGAGAGGTTGTTTAAGAAAGTTTAGACCAATATCACATGAATTCATAGGTGAGTGCGATTCAATGAGCTTAAGCATAATCCTGGTGAAGCCACCATGCAAGAATTGAATCTTAGCTCTTTCAGCTTCTTTACCAGATGTTCAATCTTTTGTAATCTGTTGTAATTCAATCTTTTTTAGTCCTCAGTTAGAAAATTGTTGTAATCATTTGTTTTTTCTTATTAATTAATCGTATTATTGATAGTTTTACATTTGTGGCTGTAAATCGAAGAACCAAGCTTGTGTGAATGCAGAGTCGGCCCTACCATAGGGCGAACGGAGCAGCCGCTCCAGGCGCTAAGTCCTAGGGGGCACCTCAGTAGTAAAGAAAATTAAAGTGTGTAAATTAGGGGCAACCAAGGGGGCGCCATAATAAGATCTCGCTCCATCCTAAGACTTGCCTCGGGCCGGCACTGTGTGAATGTATTGTTTTGACGTGACAAAGACATATCAAAACAATACATCCACTTTTCATCACCACTAATGATTGGGTTCGTTGCATTAGAACTACCTTTTATGAAATTTTTGGAGCATTATAGGAACTACTCTACTCAGTCCAGAGAGCAGCGGTATTCACGATGTAGAGTATATTCAGAAAAAATAAAGTTTTCTTACCTATGTAAATAACATACCGTCCTTGGCGATGTTTATATTAATATTTATACACCGTCAAGGGAGAATGAATGTTACAAATCGTTATACTGTCAATAAAATTATATAATAAACTCATTTCATTGATTTATTTTAAAATATTATTTTTACGTTTTAACTATTTGTTTTACCTTGTAGAAATTATATTGAGAGCAAAGACCAAACAAATACTCTAATTCGACACGGATTTTGGCCTTCTTATAATATTCCGTGAGTGGTCTTTTATCTAAAAAAATTATTTTANATTCTGGCAACACAGCAATGTGAAGCAATGTTTTCAAATCTTCTGTGTCATGATGTAACATGATGACACGTCATAACACGTATTAACACAAACTGTCAGCATAATCAGAATGCGGATTTTTATAGTTTCTACGTAACATTCACCTTACGCCGATGCACATTAGAAAAAAATTAAGACGATAATCAAAGTTAAAGATGGTCCGAACTAATTTCCTTTATTAATTATCTATGTCGCCAAAGATTAGAGCAATCGTTTACTCTCATTATTGTTTTAATTTTACTTGTCTTGTGTCTGAGCTTTTATGCGTAGTCTCCGGAAAATATTTTATATCTAAGCAGATGAATTATTATGTTTAATCTTACAAAATATTCCATGTAATAGCATCAAAAGTTTTATTTCAGGTTGCATTAATACTGGAGCAAGTGAAAGGTTTACAGGACGGATATAAACGAACTCCATCTTTGCCTGATACAAGACCTAATGTTATGGGAGTTATGTAAGTTTTTCAGCAATTAAAAATTTCTTGTCAATTGAAATACATGGTAATAATAATTTAATGAATAAAATAATGTTATCTGTTTTCTTGTTTTATTTCTAAATTTTAAATTTTTAATTTATATAATTTGAAATAACTTTCTGTCTAATTTACAAAATTCCTCCGGATAGATATTTATAAATTTTATTTTGTGTGTTCGTGATTGTAAGTGTGTAGGTGTGTGTTTTTAACGATAAACCAACTACCTCGTATCATAACAATAATTTGATATAATTTACTAAAATTTCAGTAAACGCAATAAACTAGATGGTGTTTTCCTGCCGCCATGAAAAATTCGAGTTACGATCCGATTCGGCAGTGGCTTAAATATTGTTAAACGCAGTAAGGCCCATGACATAAGGAAGCTCAGACCATGCATTGAGCACTGTTTCTACGAAACATTATAAATATGAGAAGTTTTTAATAATAAATTTTTGCTTACTCTTGTACAAATATACTTTATACTCTGCTTACACTTTAACAAAAAATGTTTTTTGTAGAATACTTTTATTTTGTTTATAAATCGTTTTCTAGATTACTTTTGAAATTTTTTTCCTTTCTGTTCGATATTAAATTTACATACAACAAAAGAAATTTTGAATGTACAGTACGTATCTATAATATTTCCTACAATTTGACATTTTAAAATTGGCAGTTTAAAAATTTCATTTAATTCCGGTACTATGGAGGACTCTTTACCATAATTTGCTCAAGGGACTAAAATTTATACTTATGCCACTGCAATCCAGACTGTCGTGATTTCAGTATTTGAAATCAAATACAAATACTCAAAATAAGTAATCGGATTAAATCGTTACTCATTTGTTATCTATAAATTAACACGTTGTTTAATGTATATAGGCCTATATAATGTTTCTTTTATATGATAAAGATCGTTAATTAAATTATTTTTATATATTTAATTATTTTCAGTTGACGAACTATTCGATGCAAAAGAATTATCAATTTATCGCTTATTCTGGGCCAACTTACGATCAACAACCGGTTTTCAAGTGGAGCACAAGTATATATACAGACGTCCCTCACGCTGGTCATCCCGATGAATGGAAATTTGATCCAGTTCTTCATCACTGGTTAAATGTCTAATGTAAAATTTATATACAAATTCATATTATTAAATATTCAGTTAATAATTAAATGTTATTAAATAATTTACAGTACCATATACTAGGATATTTGAGTTACAATACAACATATTTTTCAGCTGATGTTTATAGTAAAATTTTATATTTACGTTCTGAAAACTCAATACATTTTAACAATAGTACGATGAAAATATTTAGTTAAATTCAAAATACAATTATCAGGGAATAATCATCTATAGACATTTTGAAAAACACTCTTCGTTAATTACCTTTATGTTTCAAGTCTCCACCTCACATAGTAATAGTTCATTAAAAGAGATTGTCTTCTTGTTTATTGAATATTTTTGTTTGTTATTTTTCTAAATAAATTATTTATTGCAGTTTATGTTTACCATAAAAGTAATATTATGGTACTGCATGCGTTACTGCGTACAATACAGCCTTTTGTTAACAACCAATTAATTATTTGATAATTAGAAAGTGATGCCTTAAATATTTTACGTTTTAACATTGCTTAAACATAGTATTCATATTTATTACGTAATTTCTTCTTATATGTAGTAGACGTTTTACTATGTTTTAGTAATATTTTTGGAAAGACATTACGCAATTTTATCTGGAGAATTGTATAGGAATTAGAAAGCTCAAACGTTATTCTGTAGACTGGTAGAGCTTTTTATGTGTTACACTAAAATAATTTTTTTTAATGGTTATACGAGTATTAATGCTTTGATACCTGAACATAAGTAATTTTATGTGTGTTTTAATTTATAAAAGCATTGATGTAAATTAATACGCAAATAACACAAATAATGACTTAGTAAATAAAGTATAGGCCTATATTTTATTTATTATTGTTTATTACAATATTTTGTTTAAGAGTAACTTAATACTTTTCTTATATACATTAACAATATATTCGTAAGATGAAATAATTATAAAAAAAATATAACTGTGTTTCATATTACCATGAAAATATAGAAATATAAGAGAGTTCAAAATAAAATTTTTATATAATCTTCGTCTCTAATAAGTGATAATAAGATTTGAAGTTCAGCTATAATTTTGTTTTCCATTGTCTTTCATGATTATAAAGCATTAATTTATATCTGATGATAAATTGAATATCATTCCGTATTTCTGGCAAAAAAATCCGAGACTGTTCTCTCGTATTTGTCTGAATAATATCTGTAGTGTGATACGTGAGGAGTCTGATCCCATCTGTAAAAATCTATAATGATCTTCAGTTGTAATCATTGTCGATAACATACGGCATACATATGACAACTTAACTTCTGCCGGATCACTATCAAAAATACATCCTCTGATCTAAAATATAACATTTTAAATTAAATAATTAATAATTTAAAGTTATTAATTTAAATACTTACGGTGTATATCTCGTTTCTTTTTAATCTTGGACTGGAGTCTACATTAGAGAATGAGACACTGCTAGAAAACCGAGAATCGTATTTGTCTCCCATCTCCTTGACAAATTGATGCAACAAGACAAATTATTGTTACATAAACAATGTTATTTATAACAATTCTGTGCAAATAATAAACCTTTTATACTTATGTTACATAAATATTCATTGTTAAGTTTATTAAATAAAAATTATATTTACAAAATGTAAAGGCGAGTAAAGTAAAAAGAAATAATGAATTTCTTATGAAAAATTAAATTACAGTAGTCGTATATTTTAATGTTATATAAATATAATTTGAGTTAAGTAATTTATTATTTTATATTTTTTTTACAAAAGGCATATGTGAAAATATAAATAACGTTAATAAATATAGGCCTATAAGAAATAAATGTTCTAATAGAACATGAAAATAAATGGGAATAGGATAATAATAATCTAAATGATGTATAGGGGCAAGCCGCTACTAATTTGAGGTGGAGAGCACATATTTCAATTTAAATTAATTAAAAATATGATTAAAAATTGCAGCTCGGTATTGTGACGATGTCACAATAAATACTTGTTCGTTTATTAATCAATTTTTCTTAAAATTTCAGAGTAATTATTTTTATTTCTTGTTGGATCTTTAATAACCTGTCAGTTTGCACACAGAGCATTTTCAAAACTTCGAAACCGTAAAAAGAAATCAATTATACCGCAATGAACAACGTCTTATTAGAGAGAACAGGCATTAAACCTTACTTTGTTTATTCAAACGGTTTTAAGAACCGAACTTGTATATTAAAATATGAATAGGGAATATAATTATTATATGAATAAAATTTTAATTAGTTGGAAACATTCCACAAACTATAATAAAATATTAGTAGTTCTATTTATTTTGATGTAGTTATTACCATTTATTTTATAGATCAGTGTTTTTCAACCTTCTTGAATACGCAACTCCTTTACAGGGGTCGCCAGAATTAAAAGTTCTGGCGACCCCCCAAGGCCATATTAAAACTATGTCAGTGATTTTAAAACTACTGTACGTATTTAATTTTCTTTCTGTAGAGATTTAAATATCGATAAAAAAAAAACAATTGTAATGTAAAATAAACAGACACAGACTTCTCACTGAAACTGTAGGTTTTTTTATTGTAGTGTAGGACCTACAAGCACTTGTCCTTTTCTTTTACCTGCGACCCTCCGCGTATGGCTTTGCGACCTCCCTGGGGGTCGCGACCCACAGGTTGAAAAACACTATTATAGATAGCTTTATGCATAAGTATTTCAGTTCAATATTAATAGTTTCATATAAGAAAATACCGAAAATTATTGGTTTGAATTTTGAAACGTTAAAACATTTCAAAATTCTAACCAAAATAATCTTGCTGATTATTTTAATTGTTCTATAGATAATCCTTTATAGGCTTGTATAAACTGAATATCTTCAGATATAAATACTTAGATATCTATTGGATAGTTATTACGTTCAAAGTTTTAATATATTTTTTTTCAAAGCAGCATATTTTCACTAATATTTAACAAAAATACAGAGACGGGTACTGGAATGTGCATCACTGGAGTTGTGATCAAGTTGCTCTCTGCTAGTTGTGGACAACATAATGTTTTTATCCTCTGAGGCCCGCAGTATGAAAAAATACGTTGTTTTTTTTAACAAATCAAACATTTATTATATATACAAATACATGGAAAAGTACTGTCAGTTTTTTAATTTCTGAAATACATCATTTTAGTCATTATTAATAAGGTGGTTACAAGACGAAACCACCGAGCCTCATTGTCCTAATTTATCTAATAAACCATGAAATATTCCCGTGTTTTGTGCAATTTTCAGTATCTAATTTTCACTCATTTTGCATTTTATGTAATATAAGTTTTTGTAATATATAACATCATAAGTCAAATTTTATATGTATAACTTGTATTTATAAAATATATTTTTTTTTACCTGGAGTTAGTAAAAATATCACTTTTTATGATTCCACATAATTTCTAATGTTCCTTCTTCATTGTATTCTCAATTATACAATTTGAAATTGTAAAAACTCCAAAAAAATTCATGGATTTAAAAAGAATTCAATTTTTCTGATTACAAAAAAGACAAAATCTATCATTTTGTCTTTTTTCGTTGTCAGAAAAATTGAATTCTTTTAAATCACATAAAATCGCTTTCTACAGAAAAAAACTTTTAGAAACGTTAGTTAGGGTCATTTAACTCAAATAACTGAAAGTAGTTTTATTTCATAACCAAACAACCATTAAAAAAATTAATAATAGGCCAATATAGTTTCAGTACTAAATACATTCGTATTATTATTCTAAGTTAATGGGAAAAAAAGTCGGTGTAAATAAGTCAGAATAATAATAAGGTATGAACATAATTAACCATTGTTGAAGTTTTGCTATAGACAATTTTTGAAAATGTATTCTCATTCCAGCAATTAGGAATAAACGCGAGCATTTTTCCTCAATTTGAATGGAATTGCTTTTAATATTGTATTTTGGAAGGAATCACATTTAATATCGATAAATGAATTTAGGGTTAAATGTATTATTTTGAAATTTTAATGTTAATACCTCGAAAATGAATGTGAAGAAATCTGATCAATTTCATATCATTAACCAGATCAATAAGATCGAGTGTAATTTTTAGGAACTACTGTATTTTTTTCTATTAAACATATAACTCAGATTCAGTAACAGTAAAGCTGATCATAAGACTTATTAAAATATTCTATAATTTAGTTTTTTAACAAAATTTATTTAATTTATGCATGTCTTGTCTCTTTAATCCGACATTAAGTTCGGTAGACTATCATTACAGCTTTCAGGTTAGACACTTCTTTTATTGTTTCGACATATGCATTTCGGACTTATATGAATGTTACGTCCCTCTTCAGTGCAATACTGTGGTTCTGTCTCCTAAAACCACGGTGTACAACGGGTAAGATTGGAAAGATTTTAAAATAATAATTGCAGTTGATAATTGCAGTTACTGCAACGTTATATCGTAGAACATACACATTCTTTAAAACTTGTACTTATATAAGATTTTATGAGCAAATGTTAAAAGTTTCCCGTATTAATGGTGAAAATGTATTTGGGGTGTTTTTAATGGCTGTATTTTAAAATCTTTCCAATGTTACCCGTGTACACCGTAGTTTTAGGAGACAGAACCATAGTATTGCACTGAAGAGGGACTTAACATTTATATAAGTCCGAAATGCATATGTCGAAACAATAAAAGAAGTGTCTAACCTGAAAGCTGTAATGATAGTCTACCGAACTTAATGTCGGATTAAAGAGACAAGACATACATAGAACATAATAACAGCTATCCAAAAGTGATATTTTTATTTAATTTAATTTTTAAATTTGATAATACTGACTTATGTTATTTTACTAAGCCAGCAAAGTCATTGCTATCTTAAAAACAATATTGGAGATAAAAACTTATTTTCTATTTGAACTGTTATATCAAAAATTATTGTGTAGGAAAAAAATTAATTGATATTATCTAGTATGTCGGCATCTCAATGTAAACTATAGACATAATCAAAAAAAGTATTATCTTTACTTATATGATATTTCATAACGTTATTATACTTGGAGTAGTAAAAGTGTATTTTACAAAACGCATATAGTAAATATTCTCTTCATTCTCTATACAAACTCTACTTTATTCTTTCTACATTTTTCAGGACTTTAATCCAGCGATTATACATTAATTTTTCCCTGGTGACGCGAAAATTATTAACATTTATTATAGTGGCGCCTGTTTCTCATACCATATATTTAATACAATTAATACTATCTAAAACTTTTAGTTAAAAAAAATAACTTTTCTTGCTTGTTTACATACTTTAATATTCTTTTCCTCTGTTCAAAATAAAGTATTAATATTTAAACATGGTATAACTTATGTGACTGTTCTAACGTAACGTGTATTTTATTCAATATCTCAGGATGGAGTAAAGATTAAGTAACGAAATTTGGCACGGTAACTTTTATGTAAGAGGCATTGATACTAATATATTTTGGTGGTTAAAGGTCGAGGGGATGGGAAGATAGAGATAAGTCACGTATCACGGTAGTAACAAGTAAAATCTTTATTAAGTCCGACCTCACCCGAGATACGACACATGATATCCTTCTAACTCCCTACTCCTTCGACCTTTAACCACCAAAATTTATTAGCGTCAATGCCCCTTAAACAATAGCTGCCGTGTAAATTCCGTTTCTTCATCATTACTCCATTCTGAGATATTAAACGAAATAAATGCGAACACACGCACGCACACACTGAATTTTTTCGTTTGAATCTTTTGGGTTTAGGAGGTTTCAAAACGTCCAAATTTGCGGAGAGTCCAATTTGCCCGATTATCTTATAAACATAACATCCGGGAAAGTAAAAACCGAATATGATACATTATAACTAGTCAATGATTACTCAATTATCCAAACTATATATTTTATTTTCATTAACAGGACATAAACATTTATGGAAAACACGAATCACAAGAGTTATTTGTTTATCATTTTATCCCTTGATTTTAAATTGTATTTGAACATTTTTCAAGTAAACAATACTTCAAACTTTCGTATGGAATTAGATAACACAAGTGAAGTTATTTCTGTTTTGTTTGCAGATAATTTATACCGCGTTGACCAAAAATAATTTTCTTATAAATATATATAATTACGTAGAAACATTGCAAAGCCACGTGTATATCATAGATTATAAAGAACTCTATAAATCTATAAAATGCGTATGAAATTCATATCAATTCACAATATATTATTCCTTGTGAATTGCAAAATTTTGAAAAATAATATTTCAAACAAAACATATTTGATTTGAGAATAACTTTAATAGTTAAATAATGAAAAATAGCTATATCTACTATGAATAACATAAAATCAAAAATACTTTCGATTAAACTTTATCTTCAAATAAATTCTTCAAACAATTTCATATACATATAATTTCAATTGACAAAATTATTTGTAATCTGAAAAAGTAACTAGTTGACAGTTTGAATAACTTCTAAGTAACAAAAATATATTTGAAAATTAAAATTACTAACATTTAATAAAATATAAAATTTAAAAATAGAAAGACTTTCATTGTAAATATAATAATAAAAATACTGTTTCAAATATTAAGGTACATTTTGAAATACACATATCAATATTAAAATTTATATATATTAACATCTAAGTATATGAAAATTATAAAATATAAATTGTGGCAGTAGCAAGATATCTTCAAGTTTTTATAAGTTTGATTTCAGTCTCACATTTAATTAGTTCAAAACATTATATACATATACAGGGCTTTTGAAAATGATTGTTGGGTTAGTAAATATCATTGTCACTATCATTTACAAGGAGAAAAAATAAGTTTTATATTGATTTGCCACTACGCTTGCCGATTTTTTTCCAGTGTGTTATATGTGTTATTTACGATCTCTTCTTGTCACTCTCAGATATCAATCCGGTAGTCCGATCCCTGCCACACATGCTGTAGCGCAGGGATAGGCAACTTTTTTTTATGTAAGGGCCGCATACGAAAGAAAAGAGAAGAAAAATGCCGGTAAATCACAATTATTTATTCATATGTAATTATAAATTAGCATAGGTATACTTAATTTAGCTTCTGGAACTGATGTAAACATAATATATCGGAAATTATTTGGTTAAATATTAGTCACTGCTAGTTTTAAATTATTTTCGATGTGAGTCTGTTAGCCGGTTTCTTGTTTTCATTTTTACTAAATTCATTGCGGGAAAAACTATTTTCATACATAAGTTTTAGAAAAGAGCGTTTGAATTTTTGCTGCATACTTCCTTAAGCTGGGAAATTAATATATTTATTCATATTTTACGTGACGCGGGCCGCAAAAAATATTAACGCGGACCGCATGCCCCAGGTTGCCCATCCCTGCCAGTGTAGCGTGTCACTGGTGTTGATTTCGATGGCATCAATAATGCTTATGTTCAGTTCGTCAGTGGTTTGGGGTAGGGAAGGGACGTAAACGACATTCTTCACGTAGCCTCAGAACAAAAATCGCACGATGTGAAATCACGAGAATGGCAAATTTGGTGATTTTGGTCAGAATCGATCCACCGCTGCATAAGATTATTCTTCTTTAATCGTCATTTATTTGAGAACAGTGCTACTAGGTTGTCGTTTCCGATCGCAGTTTTTAAATACATGCGATCAGAAACGACAACTTAGCTGATTAACAATAGTCCTAATCCCAACAATCGTTCTGAAAAACCTTATATATATAAATTACGTACAAATGTAGATCATATGTAGATGTATATATATATATGTATATGTATATCGTATAATAATAATTAACAATAAATCAAATAAAATAATATTCAAATCAATAATAAATCAAATCAAATAATATTTCAAAAATGTAACTACATTCAGTATGAAATGGCTAAATTTTAAGCAGCAGTTATTATTAAACAACATAAATATAATGTTTTCTAATATTTTACACAGAAACTACAAAATGAAATTACAAAGTTCTTTCCATCTGCATGGCATTTCTGGAAGTACTTTTTGGTCGTTTCACGTAGAATATGATGATGCCTATTAACTGGAATAGAAGAATTTAATTAGAGAATTTCTTCAATTTAATAAATACGAGTAATAACTAATTAAATAGAAAACAATATACCAAAACAATTGCATCGATAGCACCAACGGCTGCAAGAATTTTTAATTTAGTCATCATTTTGTCCATAAAATCTTGACCAGTCATGACGGTATTCTAAATAAAATATAATTAAATATTTAACAATATTCTTACTTTGCTGAAAATTAGAAATTAATGAAACAGAATAAAAATTATCTAATTAATTTTGTATGAAATTATCACATTTTAATATTTAAACTTTTGTTTACTGTTGCTTTACAGATTCTTATAATAAACGTAAACATGAATAAACATACAGTAGAGCCTCGATTATCCGACCCCCGATTAACTGACACCTCGGTTAACCGACCGTCCTAGTCGGCAAATTTCAAATGTCCGCTAGTGATATGGCGCTACAATATTTGGCTATGTCTTGGCTACTTTAATATTATTTTTACGTGTTTTAGTTGGCAACACTCATTCGACCATGAAAGGGAGCCAGTATTTAAACGAGGCTTAATTTTCTAATTTTTAACGATACAATAGCGACGATTATTATTTAAAAAAATTTTTGTTAGGCTTAACATCGATGAAAATTCAACACGAAGTAGGTTAATAGCGATATACTAATATACTAATTACATGGGATATAATAATATACTACACTAATAATGGATTTTTTCATACTTTTCGGTTATCCGACTTTTCAATTATCCGACCAACCCCAGTCCCCAATTGAGTCGGATAATCGAGGCTCTACTGTATGTTAACTAACACATTGGCCAAGACGATATTAATATGTCACTGTGTTAATTAATTTAATTTTATTATTTTACTGTGCCATCGTTCTGGAATGTTTTTAATTGTTTAATTGGCTTACGGTGGATGAGTAACTTTTAATAAAAGGTCGACTTCAGCGGAAAAAGAAAGTTTTGTTTCATTTCATTTCATTTCACCACAGAGGAGTAGTATAGCACTCAGCTTTGTCACTCCGGAAGAAACAGGAAGGAAGAGTCGGTCTTATAGAAGACGACCAATCCGAGGAAGGGAGACAGAAATGCCTTCCGGGAGGACTTGGGGGAAAGCTGGCACCTATTCAGGCGTCATTGGCAAGGAGGAAAACCCGGAAAAAACTCCCGCTGCCAGCTCGTCCGAGTGAGGCGCGAACCTCCGATCGAACTCCGGCGTTTAGGGTCTGGTCACCACTATCAAGCGGAAGTTTTGTTTCTGACGTGTGTGAAAGGACGTAATGAAGATGTTCATAGTTTCTTCTATTTTTTAAATAATAAACATAATTTACATAAAAATTAAAAGTTCAAGTAATGATAAATTTAACTTAAATTTCCTATTGCGATAAATTTATATAAATCTGTTAATATTGCCCATTACACGGTTGACAATATTACAGATTTACAATTGAAATGTTCGAACTGTCCTCAAATACTGATTGCGAAACACAGTACATTGCGTCAAACAAAATAGAATAATTACATAAAAAATACTTGTAATTATCCTTTTTAATTATATTATTACAGAAACTAAAATTCTAAAATTGCATTTTATAGCAAATAGCATCGATAGACCACTCCTTTAAAAATTATAATCTTGAATTATTGTAGTGTTTCGAGCCAAATATACCCAGTAATTGTATACAGTATGGACGGACATTTACGAAAATGTTCTGTAAATTATTAGCGAATTGAAAATAATTTTAACGTAATTGATGCACGATAAGAACAACAAGACGGCATACTTAAATAATGCACCAAATAACGTTCACCAACACACAAACAACAATAACCTTTATCTATCGTTTGACCAGAAAATGGCGGCTTATTATCATGAACACCCTCTCGACCAATCATAGATAGTAACTGTTGGCCAAAAACCACGGAAAAAGCGTGTCGTTACTTTTATATCTAGGACTTTAAACTATACTTAAGTTTAACGCTGCGCTCGACTTACAAGTTAGTGCCAATTTCAGAGGCAAACAAATAGCGTCGCTAAATCGAAGTTGGACTGCATTATATAATTTATTTTTCTTTGTGCGTAATTGTTTACCCATGTAATTCATGTAAACTTTCTACGGAATTTGTTATTGAATTAGCAAATTATAATTTATCTAGTTAAAGATAAATTATTAGTTTATATATGGCCACTTTAATATGGCTACAATTATTCTTTCTACAGTGGACCTTTAAAAGAATAATTGTAGCCGTATTAAAGTGGCCATATATAATATAACGAGCACCTCTCATAACGAGTAATTCGCATAACAAGCAAAACGTAAAAAATGACTCCCTTAACGAGCGACAAGGAGAGAGGAAGTCCCGGATTGTGCGCATGCTCCATCAATCTGTTTACTGTTTAGCACTCGTTCCACTAGCATCTTAGTATCGCTTGTAATCACACATTTTTCCAAACTTGTGTTCACACATATTACATATAAACATCAACAATCACAGCCCGTTATATAATAAACGCGCAAAGCCATATGCCAAATTCTTGGGCTATGTAAAGGCTATAATTAAATATTACAAAATTAATTAATTTGGCTAGAGGTAGGCAATTATGCTGCCATCTCGTATTAAACTTAATAATTATAAATAAATAATTTTTGAAATTAAAAATTACATAGCCCAAGAATGTGGGATATCGTTTGGCGTGTTTATCAGACATTTATTTGTGATTTTTTTTGTTTTCTGTAAATCAAATTTGTATTTCATGTTGGTTAATTCCGCGTTAAAAGATGAAGATGATTCACGCTCCTTAACAATGTACACTCACTAGCTATTGAATTAAAAACAGCAGTTTAATAATTTATTGGACCACCTTTAGTTCGAATTACAGTAAGACCCCGCTTAACATTGCCTCGGTCAACGCTGATTCAATATAACGTGGTCTGCTGGAAACCTAAAAAACGCTCAAAATTTACGCTGATTCAAATTATCGCGGAATTTCATTGATTCGTATATAATGCGATTATTTACGAACACAAACCAATCAAAACAAGGTGGCAATTCATCGTAGCGCTGTACTTCCCTTAAATATATGTTTGTTTTGTGCAAATTTGGAAAAAAATACAACATTATGGATGCCGTAGGAAATATCGACTTCGCTTGGTAAGAATTATCTGATAAATGCATGAACGGAGTGTGGAAGAAGTTATGGCTGGAGGTATCCAAGAATTCTCAACGAGAAGAGCAGAGCCGTAACTAGGGTATGGCCAATGTGGCTCCCCCGCCATAGGCGCCAACGAAAAGGTTTCGGTATAATATGTATTTGAAATTAATAACACAAAAAAACTTTTATATTTATATAGTATTTTTGAACTGTAATTTCTACTAACATATATTTCAAAAATTGTGTAGTTTACATTGTTTACAAACCGGTTGACCTGGAGAACAGCTGTTATCAGCTTTTCCGGGTAGTTGTCATGTACGCCTCAGAGTAATATTGGTTTAAAGCAGGAGGGGAGCTAACTTATTGCATCTATTCAAATATAACACGAAATTTTCGATTTTTATGCTATTAAAATACGGGAGAACCGAAAAAAAGCTACGGGAAAAAATTTTACTGAATAAAAAAGAAAAAAAAAACATATTGATGTCATAAACAACATCCAATAGCGTTTAAAAAACTTTACCCATGTCAAATCCGTCAAATAGAAGTTTAGAACGATTTTATTAATTTGATATAAAAAACTCTTATAAAAACAATAGCGCAATTAATTAGCTAATTAATAAATCGTCATTAAAAAATTTTGTGGCAAAAATAATTCATGAAATTTGCGTAGGTGACCACTTCGGTTGTAGGCTAGGAGGGGTGACGCGTGCCCACCAGTGGCCGAGTGAACTCCGTCTCCGCTCATAGCGGCGGTGACCAGACCCTAAACACTGGAAATTCGGTTGTGGATTCGCGCCTCGATTGGACAGCTGACAGCTTGGAGTTTTCCGGGTTTTCTCCTTCCAATGACGCCTAAATAGGGGCCATCTCCCCATAAAAGTCTTTTCGGAAGGCTTTCTATTTCCCTTCGTGTTTCTTCCAGTCGTCTTATATAAGGCCAGCTCTTCCGTCGCCTTGTGATCTATCTCCTGTCTCTCTTCCCTTCGGAGTAAAAGCGAATAGCAATACACTCCTCTATCTGCCCAGGAAAGGAAAGGTGAGGAGGGGATGGCGCATTTCTTCTGCTTGGGTCGAAAAGGTGAGAGGGAGTGCATTGTACGAACGTATTAGAATCTCATCCTTTCATAAATGTTACTGTTTAGTGAGTTTTTTTTTTGTCAAATTTAGTAATAAAAAATATTACATTTTTTAAAATTGCTATAATAAAATGTCTACAAAAAAGAAAAAATCTGACTGGGAAAATAAAAAACAAAAAAAAGACAATCAGAAGAACAAAAAACCAATATAAAATATTAGACAAATGGTGCATAAGTGTTAAATCCTAGAATCTCGGACCATGAACAATCAATAGAACACACAAATTGTTATACAACTTGGAAAATTCTAGAAAAAACATTAAAACTGGACAAAATCTCATTGATAGTGTTGTGCAAAAACAAATAATGGTAGAAGTTAATAAGTGGCGCCATATTCTTAAAATTGTTCTAAATTGTGTTTTGTGCTACAAATAATTTAGCTTTAAGAGGAACGCATGAAAACTTCACCGAGAATAATGTGAATAGAGGCATTTTTTATAATTTCATTGAACTTGTCAGCAAATATGACACTACTTTAAAAACCATCTTTAAAGAAACAAGTATCGTATTTAAGTCCAAAAATCCAAAACGAATTAATTTTTTTACTAGCATCTAAAGTTTGAAACAAAATTATAAATAATATAAAGACAGAAAAATATTTTAGCATAATAATTGATAGTACTCCTGATATATCTCAAAAAGAACAAGTAAGGCAGATTATCAGATATGTCAAAATTGAAAATGAAATGGTAACTATCGAAGAGAGATTTGTTGATTTTGTACTATCAAAATGTAAAACAGGACAAAGACTTGCAATCGAAGTTTTGGATAAGTTAAAAAATGATGGTTTAGATTTTAAAAACATAAGAGGACAAGGGTACGATAACGGAGCAAACATGGCCGGAGTATATAATGGCATGCAAGCACATACAGCACGATTAAACTATCTTGCCAAATTTGTTCCTTGTGCCGCGCATTCGCTTAATTTAATTGAAGTGCACGCAGCAAGCATTACCGTGGAGACGTTTTCATTTTTTGGAATAATCCAGAAATTATTTAATTTTTTTGCTTCTTACACCAGAAGATGGGAAAAAATTACAACATTACTAAAGACAGCACTAAAAGGACATAGCGACACGAGATGGTGCTCTAAATCACGTTCAGTAAGTCATTTAAAACATCAAATTAATGAAGTTATAGAAGTCCTTAAAGAAATATCAAAAGATTCTTCATTTGGAGACAGCTAGAATTATTATTAGACATATTGAATCATAGAATTTTATTTTTATGTTAATTACGTGGAAAAATATTTTAGCCAAAATAAACGTTGTAAATAACCAATTACAGGATAAATCGCAAGACATTTTTCGCTCTTCTGAACTATTAAATGGACTAGTATCTTTTTTCAACATTTTAGAAATAAGCAGTATGATATTATCATGTTAGAATGCAGATAAAAATGTGCAGAGTTGGGAATTGATTCAATACCCAAGATGAAGTAAAAGACAAAAGAAAACTGTTACATGGAGAAACAGAAGGAACTATACTTTCAAATCAGGATGAATTAAAACATTTGTTTTATGAAGTTGTTGACAATATTATATCCCAATTTATCGATTTATAAATATGTCTTCAATATTATCAATTTTTGATTTTTTAAATGGAAAAAATTGGGTTACCATGCCATTAGTAGATTTTAAAAAAGCTGCAGTCGACTGTTGCATTGTATATAGTGAATTGGATGCAATGCAATTAGTAAATGAATTAGATCGCTTTCAAATTCAAGCAAAAATAATATTTAAAAATTTGATATCTTTACACCATTTACAAATATTAGAGGGAATGGTTAAGTAGAATGGATCTCTGTGAGTCTTATAGACTAATATTGTAGTTGTTTGAAAGCGTCGATTACATTTATTTATTATTCTTTGAGATAACGCCATTTGGGCGACCGTGGAACACTTTGTTGCATCGCTACACCTGTTTGTAAATTCACTAGTAGATTAATAGTATATTATTGTATATATTTGTTTCTTAACGTTGTTATAACAATATTCTTTAACACTTTCAAATGCCAAAATTGATTGATTGTGAAATTGTTCGAATTTTATTACATTTAAATTCATTAAATAATGTGTTATATTTTGTTAAAAAACATAATAAAAGGTTATTTATAAAAATATTTTTAAAATTATTTATATATATACGGTATATACGAT